AGGGCAATAACTCCAGCAAAAAAAGGAATATTAACACGGGATTTGAACTCAAACTGTAATCCATTATGACAAAGCTACATATTAGGTAACAAATTGATGTTGCAAGTGGTGGCAAAAAAAAGTCCAGGAAATTATGAGATTTCTTATGTGCAAAGGGCCATAACTCCAGCAAAAAATGAAATATTGACACAGGGTTTGGACTCTAACTGTAATCCATTATGATAAAGCCACATACTAAGTGGCAAGCGGTAATGAACAAATTAAGTATGCGAACAGTTAATTTTGAGAACTTCCAATGTGCGAAGGGCCATACATGTAACTCCAGCAAAAAATAATAATATTGGCACGTGGTTAGAACTTGATCTGTAATCTATTATGATTAAGCCACATACAAAGTTACAAATTGATATGGTAAATGGTGGCGAAAAAAAAGTCTGGAAAACTTAAATGTGACTGCCGTCGCCAACGACAACGTGTGATGACGGACAGACTGATCCTTAAGTGTTCGCCATGCTTCTCAGGCGGCACGACCGAGGAATGGCAGAACAGTGAAGAAAGAAAGGAAAGATTTAAGATCCCAAGTGTGTTGCAATGGGGGCAGAAGATCTATTTTGGTCTGTTCAACGTCCCTCAAGTAGTAGACATGAACGAAAATCCCCGATTCTTCAGGTGGCCAACTGTATGTAAATTATGGTTTGACAGATTTTGTCAGATTTTGACAGATTCGATGACTTGAGTAGAAAATTGTTTGATTCATGTAATCTTGAAAAAGAAAGTAAAGGGACATAACTCTTTATGTAGACTCCGATATAAGTAATTTGTGCTGATCTGACAGATCTGTCAATTCAAGATCTATCTGTACGCCAAATTCAAGAAGAATTACACATTATTATATGTTTCGCATGTCTGAAATTGTCTGACATTGTCAGTATGGTAAGTTTTAAGCAAAACTTCAAACTTTCTAAAATTTCTGGATGTTTTTTTCCAAAAACAGCGGGAAGAAAATCTACATTTTAAAGAAAGTGGTAGCTATGGGAGCACCCTATATATGTTATAAACCAAAAAATATTGGTACCTTGCAAAACAAAAAGCAAATTTCGCAAAACCACCAATTCTCAAAAATCACCTAAACATGACATATTTTATCTAAAAGGAAACTTGGAACTTATAGAAGTTACAAACTATATCCGATATATAACAGAAAAAAATGCGAGGAAATTATGTGAGGGACACAACTCACAGAAATATTATCCAAAGGAAGACAATCAATCATAACCGCACAAATACTTAAGAGTACCTAGCAAGTGTTCCTAGTTTAAAACAGAGAGTATGAGTATTACTTGAAACAAATTTTAAAATTATATAAAAAATAATTCTCAGGGACACCATCTAAATATAACAGTCGAGATGCATTAAAAATCCTCCCCACATGGAAGGTAAAACAAACAATACAGTAAAATGTTCAAACCTGGCGTGCATGGTGTCAAGTTTCACCTTTTGGCCTTTTGTAACTTTCAGCTTTCTTGGCGAATTTTGTGCATTTTTAAATATCTCACATTCTCATCAGTTGTATATGAAGTGCATAACAAATGGAAAAATAAAAATATGAATGATAAACTGGCAGAATAAGATGTATAGGAAAGCAAACAAAGGGGCACAACTCTTCAAGTTCTTGAAAATCCAGCCCTTACTTTCTTCTATTTTTAGGACGATTCCATACCAAAGTCAAATAACTTTGCCTACTGCAACTTCTGACAGGTCAATGACCCTTGATGAGACTTATTTAGCTGTCAAAAATCAGACCAAAAAATACTGCAGTACAATTTTATGTCAACTTACGTATTAGTGGATTTTAACACCACTGTAAATATGAATGTTGAACAGAAATATTTTAACATTTAAGCGAACACATTTTTTTTTACAATCCTTTTAATAACAGATTTAGGGAATGAAGGGTTTAAATGTTGTTTGTTGATGTTTAGTGGATCGAAGAGATACATGTATAACATTTTTTTTAAACACAGATTTCTAAAAGATATGATTAAGGTTTCAGACTCTTTTTGGTTACCAGTATCTTGTGAGGAAACTCCATGTATTGTAGCAGAAAAACGTCAACAAATAATATGAAGTGTAGTGCAGTTGATATAGAAAGCTCAAATCCTGCTATATATTTGTAGTAAAGTTGTCAAAGAATCAGATATTTGGCAGACCTTTCTTATACATATGACTTAAAAAGGGTTGCGAGGATTTATAAAACCCAAAAAACAAACTGATTCCTATCCCTTATTCCGTCTTTGCGTATTGCAGAGTTATCTTCTCTTGTGAGCAGGTATTGATTGTTACATCATTTGTTTGTGAGAGTAACGTCATCAATTTTCGAGAAAACGACGTAATTATCTCACACAAGCCAATGATGTAACAATCAATACCTGCTCACAAGAGAAGATAACTCTGCAATACGCATAGACGGAATACCGAGAACAGTGTGGAAATATAGATGAACTGAAGGTATTGAAAATAACGTCAGGTAATTCGAGTAAAATGGACTTCCATCATAATTTTACATATTCATAATGTGTTTATACAGACTCCCTTAAAAAAAACACATTCCATACATGTTTTCAGCCTTGTTCTCTAAGCTTTCAAATTATTGAACCTGGCACAGGGACAAATTACCATCCTATGGTCCCCATTTTTTATATCATACATTATATAATACACATATATTAGAAACTAATACCAAGTTCCTGTGCATGTAAATAATAATGGCGGCGCCCAGTACCAAGTTGCCTTGTCGACTATATGTCATGATTTATGTAAAAAAAACAATGGAGGACAATACTTAAAAAAACATTTTCTGTATATGATCAGTTGGTAGTGATAATTGACCATATTCTAACTGTAAATGATAACCAAGGGAAATACATAGGCGACCAGTGCTGAAATAATCTTGAAAGTTTAAAGTTTTGCTAGTAAAGTGTCTATGCAAGGTGGCAGGGGAGGGAAATTAAACACAAGGCTAAATCTGCCAAGGTTGAATAGTACAAATTTAAATTATGAACCCTTGGCTATTAAAGATGGTGAGATAACGAGGTAAGTTCGTAAAATAAGATGTGTCTTCAGCAGTATGCTCCAGTGAAATTACACTATAAAGTCAGCATCGGTCCTGCGCTATCACAAGGAGACAAACATGAACATACCATAGACTCCAAAAACACAAATTAAATATGCACAAACTCACCACACGCATGCATCTAGCAAATGGGGGAGGCCATCCTTAAATGACCATGTATAGCTGTTGATAGGACGTACATTAAACAATACTAAATCAAACCTGAAGTTTATTTTGACATAAAGATCTTATTTATTTGGATAATTTCATGGAAATGATGACTTGTTATTTTAAACAAATGATTTGCTAATTTCAGCTTGCATGCACTGTATGAATGTTATTTTAATAACATTGTACCCATATGAATCCATGATTGTCGTGAAGTGGTGCTTTATTTGAATTTAATACATTTGATGCTCTATTACCTGACCTGGAACGCATTCGTAGCCATACCGAGACAATACAATACTGTGGTATAACTGAATATATATTGTGTACATAGTTTAAGCGTCTGCGAGACCAGCTGTTCTAACTTACAAACGTCCAGGTGACGAGAAAGAACACGAGAGAAATGTTTTTTAATTTTGATAGGAGCTGTAGGCAATTCACACTTTTCAATTTGTACTATTCTTCTTTTTGGATAACAACGCTTTAACCTGTAAACGATAGATACATCACTGGCGTCAATCCGAGCAGCATCTATACTTAAAACGTCTTTTAATATTAACGGCTACCAAACCCTTGCTCCTGGTTACAAATAAATGCTATGTCCCAATCACCTGCCCTCTGGACTGGCTTTTAAGTAAGTTGTTTTAGTGCCAAATTTTGTACAGTATGATTATTTAGCCTCTTTATCTTAATCCATCAAACGTAGGTATCTTGTGATAAAATTTGTTGTTTGCCTTACACTGTAACAATGTTTCAAGCTCCTGAGAGCTTATGTTAACTATGACATATATTTAACGTAAAATAATGATTCTTGTATATTTTATTTTGAAGTAACATGCCACTATGCTTTTATCCGATAATTTTAAGATAAAAAAA